GTTGTGCTGGACTCAGTCTGGTGGAGGCTGTGGTAGTTGTGGTCCATTAGTCCTTTGGACTAATCTTTCCCTTGTGTCTTTGGTTTTCTTCATTCTCTCTTGTTGCCGAAGGGGTGAGACCAGTGGAGTGTCTTAGATGGCTGCTCACAAGCTTTTGAGACCTCAGACGCTACTCACCAAAGTTTCATAACATTTTAAATTTATTTATAAAGACATGCCATATAGAGCTCTGCAGTGCTTATTACACTCAAGACTCAGCAATAAGTATTGTTAAATTACTATGACCATTACACATTGCAGAAATTACAGACTGGTAGTATGCTTTTCTTTGATAACTATTAACTATGTTGTTAGTGTGCCACATTTCATATTGAGAGGATAGACATGTGTTTTGATATTGGACAATTCCCTATTTCTTATTTTAGTGTTTTAACACTAAATATTAGGATTTTAGCTTGCACATGGTATTAAAAATGAAAATGGTCCTTGAGAAACTAGAAAAAGAAGAGAAAATGAAGCCCAAAGCTACCAGAAGGAAGGCAATAATAAAGATTAGAGATAATGAAATAGAGAATAGCAAAACAGTGGAATCAACAAAACCAAAAGATGATTCTTTGAAAAGATTAACAAAATTGACAAATCTTTAGCTAGACTGACAAAAAAAAGAGAGAGAGAAGAAACAAGTAACTAAAATTAGAAATGAAGGAAGAGACATTACTACTGACCATACAGAAATAAAAAGGATTATAATAGAATACTAGGAACAATTATACGCCAACAAATTAGATAACTAGATGCAATAGAAAAATTCCTAGAAACATACAAAGTACCTAATTGATTCAGGAGGAAATAGAAAATCTTAAGAGATGTATAACAAGTGAAGAGATTGAATCAATAATAAAAAACTTCCCAACAAAGAATAATCCAGGACCAGATGGCTTCACTGGTGAATTCTACAAAACATTTAAAGAATTAACACTAATCCTTCTCGAACTCTTATGAAAAATACAAGAGGAGAGAGCATTTCCCTAACTCATTCTGTGAGGCCCGTATTACCTTGATACTAAAGCCAGATGAAGACACCACAAGAAAACTTACAGACCAATATCCCTCATGAATATAGATGCAAAATTTCTCAACAAAATACTAGAAAACTGAATCTAATAGCATATTAAAAGAATTACACACCACGATCAAGTGGTATTTACCCAGGAATGCAAGGGTAGTTCAACATAAGAAATTCCGTGTAATACATCACATCAATAGAATGATAAAAAAGAGTCACATGATTACCTCAGTTGATGCAGAAAAGGCATTCACAGAATCCAACACTCTTTCATGATAGAAACACTCAGAAAACTAGGAATAGAATGGAAATTCCTCAACAGAATAAAAGGAATTTATGAAAAACACATAATTAACATCATACTCAATGGTGAAAGACTGAATATTTTCCCCCTAAGATCAGTAATAAGACAAAGATGCCCATATTCACCACTGCTATTCAACATTCTACTGGAAATTATAGCCAAAACAGTTAGTATAAAGAAAAAAGAAAGAAAGAAAAAGCATCCATATTGGAAAGGAAGAAGTTAAACTAACTATATATAAAACCAAACCCGTTGCCATTGAGTAGATTCTGACTCATAGCGACCCTGTAGGACAGAGTAGAACTGTCCCATAGGGTTTCCAAGGAGCGGCTGGTGGATTTGAACTGCTGACCTTTTAGTTAGCAGCCAAGCTCTTAACCACTGTGCCACCAGGGATGCATCCTATATATAGAAAATCCCCCCAAAATCTGCAACCTACTAGACCTAATAAAAAAATTTAACTGAGTCACAGGGTACAAGATCAACATTCAAAAAATAAGTTGTGTTTCTAGATATATTTACAACAATGACATAAATAAATAGATGGATACATACATACATACATACTGAGGCTGCTTATTTACAACCAAACAACTTATGGGATTTAGTTCCTTAGTTTAGAGGTTTAGGGTCATAGTTTCATGGGACATCCCAGTTAATTGGCCTAATAACATGTTTAGCACTTCTGTTCTATCTCATACTTCGTTGCGTAGCACCTGAGGTCTTAAAAGCTTTCAGCTGGCCATCTAAGGCACAGCAATTGTCTCTATTCACCTGGAGCAACAGAGGAAGAAGCAGATTCAGGAATAAGAGGAGGAAATGGAAGGTGTGGCTAATTACCTCCATAAACAACTACTCCTTTTGCCATTAGACCAGAAGAACTTGATGGTGCCCGGCTACCACTACTGAACATTTTGATCAAAGATTCTATAGAAGAATCCTGATCAAAGGGGGGAAAATGCAGAACAGAATTTCAAATTCTCATAGAATCCAGATTTTCTGGAGCCATGGTGGCTGGATAAACCCCTGAAACTATTGTCGTGAGATAATCTTTGAACTTTAAACCAAAAGTATCGCCTGAAATCTTCTTAAAATCTAAACAGTAGTTTAGCTTAACTAGTAAAGAATGTCTGCCTTGAGCATTGTACTCTTTTAAGATCTGTCTATATGGCATCAAATTGACAACAGCAGCTTGAAAGATTACATAGGAAACTTAGGTGGCAGTGAGTTTATGTTAATGGGGGAGGAACCACTCAGAAAAGGAGGGTGAGAATGGTTACACAACTCAAAGAATATAATCAATGTCACTGAACTGTACATGTTGAAATTGTTGAATTGGTGTATGTTCTGCTGTGTATATTTTCAACAACAACAAGGAATGTAAAATAAATGATAAAAATATGAAAAAAAAATTAGTTGTGTTTCTATACACCAGCAATGAATGACATGAACAGGTAATAAAAAAAAAAACCATTCCATTTACAACAGCATCTAAGAAATGAAATACCTATGAATAAATTTAACCAGGAAGATGAAAGATTTGTGCACTGAAAACTATAAAGCATTGCTGAAAGAAATTAAAGAAGACCTAAATAAATTGAAAGACATCCAGCGTTCATAGATTCGAAGATTTAATATTGTTAAGATGTCATTACTACGCAAAGTGGTCTACATTTTCAACACAATCCCTATCAAACTTCTAATAACCTTTTTTCCGTAAACGAGAAACCAACCCTCAAATTCATAAGAAATTGGAAGGAACCCCAAATAGCCAAAACAATCTTGAAAAAGAAGAAAGAAAGTAGGAGGATTCACACTTCCCTATATTAAAAAACATATTATAAAGCTATGATAATCAAAACAGTGTGGTTCTGGTGTAAGTATAGACATATGTTGTTGTTGTTGTTAGTTGCCATTGAGTTGGCTCCTACTCATGGTGACCTTTATGTATAACAACGAAATGTTGCCCAGTCCTGCGTCGTCTTCATGGTTGTTGGTATATTTGAGTCCATTTTTGTGGCTGTTAAGGATAGACATATTGACCAATGGAATAGATTTGAGAGCCTAGAAATAAACTTATACATCTATGGCCAATTAATTTTTGATGAAGGGTGCCAAATCCACTCAGGGTGGAAAGAATAGTCTCTTCAGCAAATGGTGCTGGAACAGCTGATCTTTACATGCCAGAGAATGAAGTTGGACCCATACCTCACACCATGTATGAAAATTAACTCAAAATGGATTAAATAGCCTAAGTATAAGAGCTAAAACAATAACACTCTTAGACAAAAACATAGGGGTAAAGCTTTAGGATCTTGTTTTTGGCAGTGGATTCTTAGATATGACACTAAGAGCACCAGCAACAAAATAAACAGTAGATAAATTGGACTTCATCAAAATTAAAAACTTCTGTGTAAGTCAAAGGACATTATTAGGAAACTAAAAAGACAACCGACAGAATGGTAGAAAATATTTGGAAACCATGTATTAGATAAAGGTTTAATATCCAGAATATATAAAGAACACCTACAACTCAACAACAAAAAGACAACCCTGTTAAATGAGCCAAAGATTTGAATAAACAGTTCTCCATAGAAAATATACAGATGGCCAATAAGCACATGAAAGGATGTTTAGTATCACTAGTCATTAGGGAAGTGCAAATCAAAGCCACAGTGAGATACTACTTTACACCCACTAAAAGTTTCCATAGATCTGACTCATGGCAACCCCGCGTGTGTCAGCATAAACAGAGTACTGCTCCATAGGGTTTTTAATGGGTACTTTTTCGGAAGTAGAACACCAGACCTTTCTTCCAAGGCACCTCTGGGTAGACTCAAATCTCCAACCTTCAGTTAGCAGTCAAGCTCCTTAACCATTTGCACCACCCAAAGACTCCTTTATTACAAAAGTGGAAATAAGTATTGGAAAGGATGTGGAGAATTTGGGATCATCATCCATTGCTGGTGGAAATGTAGAATGGTGCTACTGCTGTGGAAAACAATTTGGTTGTTCCTTAAAAAGTTAAACATAGAATTACCGTATGACTCACCAAATTATACACCTGGATATATACCCTAAAGAATTGAAAGCAAGGACTCAAACAGATACTTGTACACTAATGTTCATAGCTCTGCTATTCACAGTTGCCAACAAAGGTAGAAGCAACCTAAATGACCATCAACAGATGAATGGATAAACAAAGTGTGGCATATCCATACAATGGAATATTATTCAGCCATAAAGAGAAATGCAGTTTTGATACATGCTACAACGCGGATGGGAGCCCTGGTGGCACAGTGGTTAAGTGCTCGGCTGCTAACCAAAAGGTTGGCATGGCAGTTCAAATCCACCAGCTGCTCGCTCCTTGGAAACCCTTTGGTGCAGTTCTACTCTGTCCTGAAGGGTCGCTGTGAGTTCAGAACTGATTAGACGGCACCTAACAACAACAACAACACAACATGGATGAACCTTGAAAACATTATATTAAGTGAAATAAGCCAGATACAAAGGGACAAATATTGTATAACCCTACTTATATGAAATATCTGGAATAGGCAAGTGCATAGAAACAAAAGTAGATTAGTTGTTATAGGGTTGGGGGGAGGGGAGAATGGGAAGTTACTGCTTAAAAAATAAAAAGGAAGAAAGAGAAAAAAGAGAAAATGGCTTCTACTTCTGGAAGCTCGCACAAAATATAGTCTGCCTTAATTTTTGGGTAACCATGTTTGTGTCACCTTTCAGACTTGAGAAAGAACAGTTACTTGCAGAGGAAGAGGATGATGATTTGAAGGAAGTAACTGATTTGAGGAAAATAGCCGCTCAGTTATTGCAGCAAGAGCAGAAGAACAGGTATTCTTTTCAGTAATGAGATTTATGCAGGCAAATTTTATAATCATTAAATCCAATTATTTACAGATTGTCAAATAAATTATATGATGTTTTGAGTAAACACTAGGACCCTGTTAAGATCTATTTCAAGGGACCATTAACCAATAATAAGAAATACCTAGGAGGGAAATACAAAATTAAATTCACTTAACAGAATATTTTATAAGCATATAGTCATCATATTTAATATTGATTACATATCTCTTTTATATTCCTGGCTGTTAACTGTGTATCTGATTTCTTTGCTGATATTCTTTTTAGTTTGATAGCAATAGATACATTTTAAACAATTTTTTCTAAGTACTGGACATGTGTATAAAGTGTTCTTTTTATCAGATTCCAAATTACTTGGGATATTTGTGAACACTTTAGAACCGATTTGAATTATATAGTGTTTGGTTAAATCAGTGTATTGATTTGAAGGTCACAGGCTTGCTTTGTTCTATTTCTTGGTCAAACACCAGTTCTCCCTCTGGCTAGGCTTTCTCCAGATGTCTGTTATTGACAATGAGAAAGACATTGTGTGAATGAGTATTAAATCAATGCAAGTCCATTTTTAATACAGGAAGAGTTCCATGTGCTGCTGAGGGTGGGATGTTATTGGCACTTCATATATTGAGTGTATTACATTTATAATTTTTAGATAATGAAGAGTATGTCAGGTGTTCTTTTGTTTTGAGAACATTTAAGAGAATAATCTCGGTACATTTAACATGGGTACCTAATAAATATTTTATTTCACTTATTCAAAACTCTAAATATTAATTGATCATATGATCATATTTTGAAAAGTTTATAATTTAAGTATACTGTCATTTGTTTAAATATCATGCCTTTAAAAATAATTACTGTTAAAACTTAATGAATGATAAATGCGTGGTTTTTAGGGGCCACCTTTTAGGGACAATCTGGATAATGGCTAGCACTATAATAAATGAAATGGCCACTAAGTAACTTTTTGCATTGCTTCTAGATTATAACTTTAAAAAATCGCACTATAAATTATCACTAATCTTTGTCCCTTGTATGTCTCCTGTATACTTATCTTTCTTCTACCATAACTTTCTGTCACCCTTTTCTTTATTATTTATCTTCCAGTCTTTTCTGATGAATCATTCCTGATGGGACTTTTGGTATTGGCTACTTAAAAAGTTGTGTTTTTTTTTACCCCCGCAGTATAATTAAAGTGTTGCTAGCTCCCATGGTTTCAGAGGTTTGATGAAGCAAGCCACCACCTGTCCTGTGGTGCTTAAAAATTGGTTGAGTTTCTGTTTCCTCTACCTAGTAGGTGAAAGAATTGTATTTAACATTACAAGCAGAAAACATTGATTTTATGAGAACTTTAGGTGGCAGAAGAGGCAAGGTTCTCTAACTTTAAGGATGCGTTAGAAGTATGTAACACCCACACAGTGTCCATTTTTCTCATTCTTCTAAAAATAGCATTTGAGTACATAAATTTAGATTTTTACATTGTCATATATATATATTACATATATACATATATATATAATTTGTTTTTTTCCATTTTCTACTATTATCATTTTCATTTTTTATCTATCCCCGTGACCTAAACTATTCTTTTTAGCCTAGATACAGCATCAGAAGAATGACTGTCTTTCTATAGGTTTTATTTTGGTGACGGTTTTGTAATCAGTACAAAATAGTACCTAGCACCGTGCCTTGTATCTACCATACTAGGTACTTAGTAATACTGTTATTGGTTAATTGATTGCTTTGAACCATTAATTTAGTTAAAAATTATGTTTTCCGTAAATAACATCTGCTATATATATTTGGAAAAGTAATTTCTATCTTTCTGTGATGTTTCTCTTCTTCCTCCTCCTTTTCAGATGTTGTTAGCTGCCATCAAGTCAGCCCTGACTCATGGTAATCCCATGTGTGTCAGAGCAGAAATATGCTCCATCGAGTTTTCAGTGGCTGATTTTTTGGAAGTAGATTGCCAGGCCTTTCTTCTGAGCGGCCTCTGGGTGGACTCGAACTGCCAATGTTTTGGTTAGCAGCCTAGCGCTTAACTGTTTGTGCCACTCAGAGACTCCTTTCAGATGTTAGTGCATAAGAACATAAGATCTTTCTAGAGTAAATATTAAGATGGAATGACATTAATTATTTTAATAATTATGTCTAATTTTTGAAAGCATTGAAAAATATTTATAATAGCCTAGTCATAAAGTAAGGAACACATTATTCTTTTAAATTTTATTATGTTTATAGAACTTAAATCTCTACCCAATTCTGTTAATGGCTGAATTTAAATTGAATCTCAGAAATTTTTTTATGACAAATTCAGTATTTTTTCCATTAAATGATTTTTTCTCCTTTTAAATTATGTTGCTATTGCTCAGATCTCTTAGATGTAGATAAATTAAAATTTCTTGTTTACTGTCACAATACTTGAATTTGAAGGAAACCATAAGGATCTGCAATTAATCTTATATAGGATATATCCTACAAAGGATTTGATGTAATTTGTACCTTCTGTGGTTATAGATTTTCCCTTTCACAGTGTGTTATTGTGTGTTTAGATTCCAGCTTTGTTAATGAAGAATCTGAAATGTTATTTAAAATCACAGGCCTATCAGGAATTGCAACATTTCTTTTTTAGGCTTCAGTACAATCATTGTAAATTTTTGGGTTTTTTTGTTGCTAGTCTTGATTAAAAGTAATTTATCTGCATTAAGATTACTCTTGTATACCAGGGAGTACCACCTAGGACTCCTACTCTGACTGTATACTACCTAACTGTTCTTTAGCTAGCTACTAGTGTAAGGTAGACACAAGGTCAACTCTCAGCTAAAAGCCACGTGTATATTCTAAAACTAGAGGTAATTAAAAAACTGCTTATGTTGAATCCATTGATGATTTCTTTCTAGCAGCTTTGTCTCTTGTTTAATTCATACTGTTTTAAAAAATATCTCTAATTTTTTAGGAAGGTTTATACTAGTACTTGATGGATGAAACTAGCCTAGGAAATTAACAAGAGGACATTGGCAAAGAATTAAACACCAGAAGGGTGTGAAAAGGGATCAGCAAATAAACCATCAAGTAGATAACTAGTGTTCAAAGTCTGAAGCCTAGTGATTTAGAAGACTGTGACCTCCTCTAATTGAGATGCATAGATTAAGCTACTTTGTATTAATAGTTTATTGTTGAATTTTTAAAAACTAATCTTTATCACTCCTGCCCAAAATTGGATTATTGTTTCTACTTGTGTTTGAGTGTATTGAAGTCCCTCAATCAATGAATTTGACTATATTAAATAGTTATTCGGGAAGTCTTAATTTTACCTTCACTATAATTTGGGAAATTAAAAAAGTAGTCTTAAAAATCAGTATTTTAAAAATAATGTTGCTCTATAAATTACTTAGCCAGTTCTTCAGATTTTCATCAGCCCTACTCATGTATGTTAGTATCACAGAAGGGGCTACTGTTCTTTTTCTTATGCTGATATTTTTACTATGCAGCTTAATAAGTAGATATTTAGCTGGCTTCTTAAAATTTGTTTGGCTATCTTAAAGAAAAGGTTACAGTACATGTGGGCTTTTGCAATAAATAGCTTGAATTGACTGGTTGGCATTGCGTATTCTTTCCTGCTAACTTAATGGCATTTTCTGTTGTCTTTCCTTTCAAGAATTACTTGCTTTTAGATGTGCCCTGAAACTTTTTATTTATCGTAGAAAGATGTGCTACTCGGTATTGTATAATATAGCTCAATAAGAAAAAGTAATTATGAAAGTTATAATGAAGTGTAATTATGGATCATGGAAAGCAAAATCAGATTTTGAGAAGTTTATTGTTTTGGTTTAGAGTTATAGACATTCTATACATTACCTGTTTCATGTGATTTTTATCTGATTATATGAACATTTCAATTTGAGGAGCATCATGTTAACTTCTAGCTTGGTAAAACTAATTAGGTAGCCCTCTCAGCCCCTGAAATCTATCCATTCTTTCTTTTCTGCTTGCTTTACTAATGACTTCCCTATCCTCTCCCAAAACATTTTCTTACTTCTCCCATCTTTTGGTTTGGTTGATGTACGGGAAATGTGAATACAGACGGAGACCTTTATGTTATAGAGCATCATTGAGTGAAAAACTCTTCCAGAGGACCAGAGCAGCAGAACGTGCATCAAGGTATCTAGAGTTTGTGGAAGCCTTAAGAATTAAGGGGTCAGATTGATGCAGTTGAATTGTATAGTCTTTTACTTAAAATATAGTACTGGTAACTTGATTTGGGAAATGTGTTCATAATCTAGAATAGATGTTAGATAAAATAGTATCTCAGAGTAAAACAAAATATCAATATTCATAGCAAAATTTTACGTAGATGAATTTTCAAGTACGTAAATGTATTATTTTATAGGGAAGTTAGTCTCAACTTTTTTTTTCTTTTTCTTTCTGCTCCAGTATGACCTATACACATCAATAATCAACAGTAGTCTGAATGTGGTGGTAGAGGGAGGGAAAAGCATGTATAGTTTGATATTCTCTTTCTCTCTTTCCCCAATAATTCTGATATTCTCTCTTATGGAAGTATTCGCTGCTGCTTCTCACTTTTTTTATAATCACTCTTTAAAAAACATTTTTTTCCCCTAGTAATCTTACACATTTCATTACCTTAATTCTTTGCATTTGGAGATTCAGTGCAGTTTTAGTGTATGCACACAAAGGAGAATACAGGTGTCATTAATCCTGAAATTGTTTAGTGTAAAACTACACTGATTTGTGTCTGCACTGGTTACTTGTCCTTTGCACCTCACCGTGTCTTTCTCCTAGTGAGACTACTGGATCCAAGCTAGTGAGGAAATCGGGGGTAATTAGCTTGGATCTAATAGTCTCACTAGGAGGAAGACACCCAGAAAAAAAAAACAAACCCACTGCTGTTGAGTAGATTGCGACTCATAGTGACCCTACAGGACAGAGTAGAACTGCCCCATAGGGTTTCCAAGGCCGTGAATTTTTACGAAAGCAGACTGCCACATCTTTCTCCTGCAGAGCAGCTGGTGGGTTTGAACCGCTGATCTGCTAATCTTTCAGTTCGCAGTTGAGCACTTAACCACTGCGCCACCGGGGCTCCAGTGGAAGACACAGTGAAGTGCAAAGGACAGGTATCCAATGCAGACACAAATCAGTGTAGCTTTATACCGAACAATTTCAGGATTAGTGACACCGTTATTCTTCTTTGTATGGGCATACACTAAAATTTATTTATTAGTCATTATGTAGCTTTAATTTAAAATTCTTATATCCTGTATATTCTTTTGATAGTTGACATCTGAAGATTTAAAATAAAAAGTAGATACTTTACTCTTTATAACACTGAACTTTAAAATTGAAAATTAAGTAACAGTTATATCCATATTAATACTAAATGAAGAACTCTTAAATATGTTACTTATGTTAAAGAAAAAGTTAATAATTCATTACTTTTCACTTTGAGGTTAATATTTAGAATCATATAAAATGATGAACAAATAGCTCTCACAGTGGTCCCTAGTTCTTTTTTTCGTTTTCTTCAAATATGGTTTCATTTAGTAGTTAAAAGTTTGATAAGCTTGAGATTTTTTTTTTTTAAAAGAATTGAACTTTAACACTGGTTTTGCATTTAGAATTATAGTTTATTATTTGGCTCTTGGTGAAATGATTATTATTTCCTTTTAATGTCAGCATACCTCTCATATCATTTATTGTAATGGGAAAACTCTATCAGTCATGGTGGTACCTGAAAAATCTTTATCTTTTTATCTTCTGTCTCAACCAAAAGTTAGATATACCCAGGGTAATAGAAGATATGCAAACCCTGAGAAAGGGTTTACGAAAGAAGACGCATGGAAGAGTTGTTGAACTTCATTGCTTTTAAGTAGCCAGCGTGCTTATGGGCGTCTTATCTAAATAATATTTAAATATTGTTTTCTAGCAAACATCTTCATGGACCAGATGCAGCTTATTTTGGAGCCATTATATCTCATGTGTTGTACACATTATTCTCTTTAATATTTTTTTAAATTAATGTGTTGATTTACTTCTAGGATTCTTAATCATTCAACTTCTGTCACGAGAAACAAGGCAAAACAAACTGTGGAAGGCGAAAAGAGGTATAAAAAGTATCTTAGTCCTTATATTTAGTCTTATATAATAAGACTTGATCCTTGACGGTGAAATAAGGGTTTTATTTGAATAAAATGATGTAAAGTTAATATAACTATGTAATTTAAAGATGAAATGTGTTGCAGCACAATAAATATAAATTTATTTTTGATATGAACAACACTAAAAACGCTTATTTGACCTTTTTTGTGCTCAGCCTACATTTTGCCTTGATGATAGGATCATTTATTCATTTAGCAAACATTTATTGTTTTATTACCTGCCAGGAATAATGTGTTTCTTCTTTATCGAATGTGTTTATTCTCTATGCTATTGTTCACATTTTTAGTTCTTTTCAATTGGGTTTTACTAAATTCTCCTATATGAATACATGGTCTAAGTGCACATATATGGATTCCAGAGGAGAACTAAAAAACCCTGAAAGTTTCTTTTTATTCTTTTTGGTGATTTGAAAATTTGCATCAGGCTCAACTTTTGAGTCACCCCTATAGGTGAGTAAATCTCCAAGCCTAGGGGATGCAGAAGTACATGGAGAGAGGGTTAATATTTGTTTAATGCTCATTGTATGTGTACTGTTCTGAGTTCTTTAAATGTATTCTCTCACATAATCCTCACAATAACCCTATGAAGTTGTTACTGTTGTTATCTCCAGCTTACAGATAAGAAAACTGAGGTGCAGAAGGTTACCGTAACTTGCTGATGGTCACAAAGCTAGAATGTGGTAGAGTCAGTATTCAAAGTCAGGCTGTCTGGCTCCAGAATCCCAAGTCTTATCATATGCTACCAAGTACGCTTTGCATCCTCTAGAGCCACACATCCCACTGGGCATCTTCTCCTAGATACCTCTATAATCCAAACTGAACTTACTTTTTCCCCAAATATATTTCTTCTGCTTGGAAACCCTATGGGGCAGTTCAACTCTATCCTATAGGGTCGCTATGAGTTGGAATCGACTCAGTGGCAACGAGTTTGGTTTTGGTTATATATTCTTTGAGTGAATGTGCCTCTATTTATATAGTCACTCAAGTCAGTAACTTTAGTATCCTCAGAATCTCTCTCTCATGCACCCGTCCCAATCCAGTCAATTACAAAAAATTATAGCATCTTAGCATTTATTGCATCTATCCCAGCCTCTCCATTCCTATTTCAGTTGTTTTGGTTCAGGCCCCACCTTTTTCCACCTGGATTAATTCAACAGTACTCAAACGTGTCCCCTTTCTTCAGTTTTGCCCACTTCAAATATGTCTTCTGTAAGATTGATTGTTATAAAATGCAAATCTGACTGTGTTTACTATCTTCCAGTTGCTCTCTATAACTTTTAGGATAAAACTTAAAATGTTTAGCTTAACCCATAAAGTTGAAGTGAGTTTCTGCCTACCTCAAGAACCTCATCTCATGCCATTTCCCCTCTGGCACCCTTTGTAGGTAGGAATGATACTTCTTTCCTTAGTTCAGCATGGTTTTACATCTCTGTTCTACATGCTGGCTTCTCTACTGGGATTGCCCTTCCCTTTTCCCTTCTTTACTTAGTCTTTTCAGAATTCAGTTCAAGCATGAGATGACTTTTCATACCTGAGTCTAAGAACATTCATCTATCTTGAATTTTATTTAATTGGATTTAACCCAGTCTGTTTTTGAATGCTGATTCTGCTATCTTACATATTTGTTTTCTTTAATGTTCCTGTTATTTACCTTGTTTTCATTTCCATCTTAAGAATCCTCCCTAGGTACCTAAAATTCTCTTGAGAAAGCACCAATTACCCAAACTTCAAAACTGTGATACCCAATCCTGGCCTTTCCTTTGCAGAACTGTCTTCTACATTTTTAATTTTCAAAACATGTACCCAATTCCTTCTTTAAAAACAAAGCCAAAAAAAAGTTTTATTTTTTTTTCCTGATTAAAAGTAGTTTTATTGTTGAACAATTAGGAAATTTAGCAAACACAAAGAAGAAAATAAACATTCAAACATCATCCATTTTCCCACTCCTCAGAGATAGTGAATCATAGAATTTTAGTATGTTTTCTTTTAGACTATTTTTCTATATGTGTATACATACATATACACTCCAGAAGTGTAGAACTTGTTGCCTACTTAACACCTCCACTTGGATGTATAATAGGCATATCAAACTTAACTTTCCAAAATGAATCTTTTTGTCTCCCTCCTTGTACCCTCAAACCTATTCCTTCTACAGTCTTTCCCATTTCAGAAAATGTCAACTCCTTCTCTAGTTGCTCAGCTCAGAAAACTCGGAGTCATCCTTAACTTGTCACTTTCTCTCACACTCCACATCTAACCCATTAGCAAAGCTTGTTTACCTTTAAAATATATCCAGAATCTGATCATCTGTCACCACTTCCACTCCTGGTCCTAGCCATCTTTTTCTTGCATTAGTATAACAACTCCCTAACAGGTCTCCTTTCTGTCCTTATTTTCCTTTAGTCTGTTTTCATAAAGCATCAGATTAATACTTTTAAAAAGTAAGTCAGATCATATCATTCCTCCTCAGAATTCTCTGATGACTTCCCATCTCATTATTTAGAATAAAAACCACAGTCCTTTAAGGCCCTGTAAGGCTTTATCTGACTCCCTGTTCTCTTCCTTTCTTGCCTCTCTCTTCCTAGTTCTATTCTAGCTATGCTGGCTTCTTTGCTCAATCTCAGTAGACCAGGCACTTTCTCCTCCCAAGGCTTTTGCCTCTGCCTAGAATGGTTTTCACCCAGATAACCATATAACGTATTTCTTTGCCTTCAGGTTGCTGCTTACACGTCACTTAATCAGCAAGGTGTTCCCTGATCAACTTATATAAAAAAAAGGCATGCCTCTCTCACTCCTTTCTCCCTATTTCCTGTACTCTGCTCTATTTTTCTTCATAGAACTTAACATCATCTGAAATTATGAATATTTACTACTTTATTTGCTTATTGTTTGTCATTACCATCCTACCACCCTTTGGGCAAACTGCAATGTAAATTTCATAAGATCAAAACTTGATTCTGTATTCTGCTGTATGCCTCCACTTGGCACACTACATGGCACATGGTAGATGCTCAACAAATATTTGTTGAGTTAATGAGTTGGGAAAATAGGTTGAAGTGATGAGTGCCAGGAACTGTCTTGTGTGCTGGGAGATACAGCAGTGATAAAGACAGACATGGACCCAGCCCTGATGAAGTTAATGATTGATGTGGTCTTATTATATTGCTGTTTTAGGTGTATCTGTATTTAAAATAGGGTTTTGGAATATGTAAATCTACAACTAGTATGAATGATTCTTTGTTGGTGGCGTTAGGAAGCACATAGGCTTGTAGGAGAGACCTGAAAAGATTCTGGGTACTTAGGTTTTAAGTGAGCAAGCAGTCTCCCTTGAGAAGTCTAGGCAACCTTGTAATAGTAGTGATCTCAGTGAGTTACTCTCCAAGATACCTAGCCAATTTCTCGCAATCAGCAGTTGTGATAAACGTACTGAGAAATTGAGAAATTAATTGGTTGGTATGACAGGGCATAATTAAAAGAACATGGCCCTTGAAGTCAGACAGATTTGGGTCAGAGTCCCATCTTTGGCACTTAATAGCTATAAGGATACAGACGAGTGTTTTAATCAGCCGGAGTGCCTGACACCTAAATGCTTAGTAAATGTTAGTTATCTTATTATTTCTTTCAATTTGCCTTTCTTCTTATAGTGAGATAGAATAGCATAGTGGTTAAGAGGGCAGGTTCTTGGGAACATACTGTCTGAGTGTGGCTCCTGGAGCTGTCTCTTGAAAAAGTTAGTTCCCTTTGAACATCATTTATCCCATCTGTAAAACATGAATAATAACAGTACCTACCTCAGGGTTACTGTGAGGATTAAGTGAGTTAATATATATAATATGCTTAGAAAAGTGCTTAGCAAATAGAAATTGTTTCACATATATTATTTGTTGTAGCATTATTTTTTATTAACTTCCTTTCTTATTCTTTTTTTCTTATGTCTGTTCTTAATCATTCTTCATTTTCTAGTTCTCATCTTTTTTATTCGAAAGAGAAATAGCTCTGTAGGTATTTTTTCCTCATATTAAAAAAAGTTACATGATCTCCTACAGTTTTAATGCAGAAAATTAAAGAGAAAAAAATAATATAAAAAATACCCGTTTGTGTTGGCAAGGATGTGGAGAAATGTTCTACATGCGACTGTGGTGAGTAGCGACTGGGGTCTTAAAAGCCAGTGAGTGGCCATCTGTGATATGCCTACTGGTCCTATCCCGGCTGGAGCAAAGGAGAATGAAGAAAACCAAAGGCACAAGGAAGATATTAGTCCAAAGGACTAAAGGACCACATGAACCACAGCCTCCACCAGCCTGAACCCAGCATAACTAGATGGTTCCCAGCTACCACCACCGACAGCTCTGACAGGGATCACAGTAGTGGGTCCCAGGCAGAGTGGGAAAAGAATGTAGAACAAAATTCAAATTCACAAAAAAAAAAAAAAAAAAAAAGACCAGACTTACTGGTCTGATGGAGACTGGAGAAACCCCGAGAGTATCGACCCCTGGACACCCTGCTATCTCAGAACTGAAGCCACTCCCGAAGTCCTCCTTTCAGCCAGATTAGATGGGTTGATAAAACAAACAATAACGCACGTGAGGAACTACTTCTTATTTCAGTCAAGAATACGAGACCAAACGGGTAACACCTGCCCCAAAGCAAAGACGAGAAGGCAGGAAGGGACAGGAAAACTGGATGAATGGACACTGAGAACCCAGGGTGGAAAGGGAAAGGGGGGGGAGTGCTGACACATTGCGGGGATTGCAACCAATGTCACAAAACAATTTGTGTATAAAGTTTTTGAATGCAAAACTAATTTGTGCTGTAAACTTTCACCTAAAACAATAAATTTTTTTTTAAAGTTAAACATAAAACTACTATATGACCCTGCAACCCTAATCCTAGCTGTATACTCAAAAGAATTGAAAGCAGGGGCACAAACAGAAACCTGTACACTA